ATGTCAGACTCTTACTTGTCGAAGCTGGTCTGTGCCATTCGGGCGATGAAGGTGGCCTCTCCCACCACCTGAGCCATCCTGCCCAGGGCCTCTCCTGCAGCGCAGCGCAAGATGTGGTTGGGATTGTCTAACGCTCCCATCACCAGGGCCAGGGCCGACTTGCGCACCTCCTCCGGGCCCAGAGTGCTCTTGTTCTCAGCCAAACCCTGGAATCAGTGACGACAAAATACATTTTTACTCACCGTGTGGATAATTGGATCAGCGCTTTTCTTGAGAGGATGCATCTCCTCCTTTACCTTGAGGGCACTGAGCACCGCAGTGAAGATGTTCAGCTGGACGGCCTGCTGCCGAACTCCTTTTGCCTGCTTTATGCACTCTGCGAAGTGGTCGAGCATCTGCAGCCTAAATCGAACGTAAAGCCGAGCGTGGAAAATATAAAACAAGCAGCGAGAACTACCGGACAACACGATTTCATCGAACAGCTCACCTGTGTTTGAAGGAGACGTGGGGGAAAACCACACCAAACAGAGCCACCGAAGCGTCAATGACCGACACGCCCAAAGGCAGCGGTCCTGGGATGGCCTCGCCGACGGGAACTCGCAGGTAGATCGACGAGGGATCGTGTTCCAGAGCTCCGCTGCCAGAAGCACTGTTGGGCTGCAGCTGTTTATCAAACGTTACACTGATGTCAAAACTACGACTTGAACCATAACCAGAGAAACTGCATTTCCTGCAAAAAATGCAGTGTGAATGCTTATTGCTGAAGAAACTGCTGGAAAACAGCTGAAATTAGCTAAAAGAACGCGCTGAATTGTTAGCTGAAATAAAAGAACAAGCCTTATTTAGCAGAAGCATAAAGAACACACATTTGCTGAATTGGGTTTAAATAAACAGAAATGAGCACAAAAATTAAGAAATTAGCTAAAAAGAAGCTGAAATTAACAAAAAAAAATAAAATAGCTGAAAAGTAGCCAAAAAGGCAGAAAGAAGCTTAAAGTTTATTATAAACTACCAGAAGTGAAAAGAGCTGAAATGAGCTAAAAAATGTGGAATATGCTGAAAAAGCTAAATTTAGCACGAAAACAGCTACCGGTAAATAGTAGCTGAAATAGCAGATAAAGGTGAAACTAGCAGAAATAAGCTGAAAGGAGCATAATAAGTTGAAATTAATAGAAATAAGTTACTGTAATTAGGCTAAAAGTAGCAGAAATTACCACAAAAACAGAATAAAGTAGCTAAACATAAGCTAAAAAGCTAGCTGAAAAGGTAGAACAAGCTTAAATTAGTAGAAGAAAGCAGAAAGAACACGTTTGCCCAATTATGCTGAAAGAAGCACAAATGAGCACAAAAAAGCTGAGTTTTTTCAAAAAACTGCTGAAAAGTAGCTAAAATGGCAGAAAGAAGCCAAAATGAGCACAAAAAAGTGGAAATTATCTGAAAAAAGCTGAGTTTTCAAAAAACTGCTGAAAAGTAGCTAAAATGGCAGAAAGAAGTCAAAATGACCAAAAGCAAGTGGAGAGAGCACATTTTTGATGAATTAGATTGAAAAATGTTTAAATGGGTGCAAAAAATGTGGAATAAGCTGAAAATTTAGCAGAAAACTGTATATAGTGGCTGAAACAGCAGAAATAGCTGAAAATTGCAGAAATAATCTGAAAGGTGCATAATAAGCTGAAATTATCAGACAGAAGTTAGAAGAAGCACAAAAATGTTGTAGTTAGCAGAAAGAATCTGAAAGGAGCACAAAGTAGCTAAAAAACAGCTGAAAGTTGCTGAAAAAAATGTTTAAATTTGCACAAAGAAGCTGAAAAAAGTGGAATCAGAACAAAACGTGAAAGGAGTAGGAAAACGTTGTAAACAGATCTTAAGATTTGAAGAATGTAAAATGAGCTCAATTCAATTTCCACGTGGGAAAAAAAAGTGGCAGAAAAAGCTAAATATTTCAAAAAGCTAAAGATGCACCAATACCAAAAGCCATAGCAGGATTATCCTGAAACAGCTGAAGGTTTTGATTTACGATTTGTTGAAATAAAGCTGCGGGACGAGAACCGCACCGAAAAACATACAAATGCTTCATAAGCTTATTGTCCGTATTAGAACAATTTAGAACCCAAGATAAGAGGCTGAAGACGGCGGTTAAACATTCGGCAGAAGGTAACCACACACAAAGCTTTAAAACTTCACATCCTTTGAACTAACCTGATCTTCGATGGACTTGTGGTCCGTTTCCTGCAGCCAGGAGCCCATCAGCACGCTGTCGTCATAGTGACACAGAGAGCGCAGCAGGGAGGTGGTGGTGTTGGCCGAGTTGTCGGTCAAGGTAAACTCCGCCACCAGCTCCCTCAGGAGAGCGTTGAAGCTGCCTGAACAGGAGGAAAACTCATTTGTAAAGTGGACAGAGAGTTTTTATCTCAAAGCAGCTTGTTTACCTTCATACGTCTTGGGAGGCAAGAGCGCCAGGATGTCGTACAGCCGGAGCCTCACCATCGCCGCGCTTGCTTTCAGGTGCGCCCCGTGGACCTTAATGATGGCAGGGACTCTGAGGACAAGGAGTAAACATCAATGTTAGGAGATATATAATCAGGAATAATCAGCACGGGACAAAATGTGCTCGAGCTCGTCTCGACACGCACTGAGACATCATGGTCATGGCACATTCAATGGGCGACATCAGTCTGCGGATCACATCCTCGGTGAGAAGCTCTGGACAGTGAGCCACAAAGCTGCGCATGGCTGCAGAAGAAAGGAACAGGACGGATGAGAACCTCGTATCCTGAGATCACAAAGCAGATCCACAGATAGGAGGGGTCCTTTACCGCACAGAGCCCCGGCTCGACCCTCCAGGGTCACCTGCCAGGTGAAGGAGTCCCCTCTGGCCTTCTCTGCCTCCAGCTCCTTCTGGGAGCGAGGGAACACGTTTCTCCACAGCAGCAGCATTTTGGGGAGGTGGTAGCGAACGAGTGAGGAACCTGGTGGGTAAATATGAACACAGTGAAGGAGCAGAGGGAGGAACCATGACGAACAAACGCAGTGCGGGTCTGCGAGTCTCACCTAAAGTCATGAGGGCTCCGAGCAGCAGCCAGCCGGCCTGCGTGCGCTGCAGGGACAGCCGACTGTTCTGAGCAGCTGTACGCAGAAGGTCTTCGGCTATGGTCACAACCAGCTGCAGGGATCGAACACAAACCCGTCACGCTTTAAATCAAAGAGGCTTGTAGAGACAAACAACAAGTTTCACACGAACCACTAAAAAGGCAGAACATTTTCTGTGCAAATGCTGATTCAGCAATCACATTACTGGTTACTGTAGTTGCCATCTTTAGAGCGCACCCGAATAGAAGTCGTGCACACTAAATAAAAAAACTAGAGAAACTGCATTTCCTGTGAAAATGCAGTGTGAATGCTTATTGCTGAAGAATTGCTTAAATTAGCTAAAAATATGCTTAAAATGTAGCTGAAATGGAAGAACAAGCCTAACTTACCAGAAGAAAGCAGAAATAACACATATTTGCTGAATTAGGTTTAAATAATCAGAAATTAGCACAAAAATTAGGAAATTGATCCAAATCAATATTACTTTATTGATCTCAAAGGAAAATTAGCTAAAAAAGCTAAAATTAGCTAAAAAAAAATAGCTGAAAAGTAGCTGAAAAGGCAGAAAGAAGCTTAAACTACCACAAGGAAGTGGAAAGGGCTGAAATTAGCTAAAAAAATGTGGAATTAGCTGAGAAAGCTAAATTTAGCACAAAAACAGCTACCGTATTTTTTAGACTATAAGGCGCATTAAGCAAAACAAACATTTCTGACAGATTTTTTTAGCGCCGTGTACCACATAAAATCAGCTGGAGGTCAGTAAGCACAACCAGAATACATAAGGCGCACCTGATTATAAGGTTTACTGTTGATTTTTCAGAAAATGTAAGAATTGTAAGTGTGCCTTATGGTCCAAAAATAACGGTAAATAGGAGCTGAAAAAGCAACAACAACAAAAGCTGAAACAAACAGAAATAAGCTGAAAGGAGCAAAACAAGCTGAAATTAGCAGAAAGGAGTTAATTAGGTTGAAAGTAGCAGAAATAACTACCAAAAAAATCACTATCTGAAAACAGCTAAAATTAACAAAACAAAAAAAAAGCTAAAAAGTTGGCTGAAAATTTAGAACATGCTTAAATTAGCAGAAGGAAGTGGAGAGAGCACAGTTTTGCCCAATTAGGCTGAAAGAAGCAGAAATTAGCACATAAAAGTGCATATCATCTGGAAAAAAAAAGCGGAACATATAAAAAAAACAGCCGAAAAGTAGCTAAAAAAGCAGAAAGAAGCTGAAATTACAAGTGGAGACCACATTTTTGCTGAATTGGGCTGAAAAAAGTTCAAATGAGTGCAAAAATAATGAAATGGCTTAAATTAGCAGAAAAACATCTATATAGTAGCTGAAATAATAGAAAAAGCTTAAACTTGCAGAAATAAGCTGAAAGGAGCATAACAAGCTGAAATTAGCAGAAAAAGTTAGAAGAAGCACAAAAATGTTTTAGTTAGCAGAAAGAATCTGATAGGAGCACAAAACAGCTGAAATGTAGCTGAAAGTAGCTAAAAAAAGTTTAAATTTGCAGAAGGAAGCTGAAGCAGAACAAAAAGTGAAAGGAGCAGGAAAAGGTTGTAAACACATCTAAAGATCAGAAGGATCTAAAATGAGCTCATTTTATTTTCTATGAGAGAAAAAAAGAGGCAGAAAAGGCTAAATATTTCAAAAGCTAAAGTTGCACCTACACCAAAAATCATAGTCCTGAAAGAGCTGAACATTTTGATTTATGATTTGTTGAAATAGCTTGAAAACTACGGGACGAGAATCACGTCGAAAAACGTACGGAAGAAAAAAGGATCACGACAGAGTGAATGCTTCGTAAGCGTTGCCACAATAAGCTGCGCTTAGCTAGTGTTTCGCTTCTTTTAGCTTTACAACTCACTTTTAGCTTCTTTAGTAAACGTCAGCAGCCCTTCGGCTCAGACTGTTGGACTGTATTTTCACAGAAACCTCCTGTATTTGTTCACGTTTTGGTCGTGAGGTTTCCCACCTTGCCCTTGGAGTGAGGGATGCCCAGAGGACACTGGTGGACGCCTCCCAGCAGCGCCGCCATTGCAAAGCTGTAGCCGCTCACGGCTTCGGGTGAGCTCTTTAGGCTGTTGAGTCTCTCGGCACAGCGGTCCAGCAGCGGGGACAGCTGGTATGGCAGAGCCACGGCGACGCAGCGGAGACACCAGGCAGCCGCCAAACGGGCTGCCATGCTCGGGTGGAGCAGAACTGAGGTCACAGTTTCAAGGAGTCCTGCGACAGAAGACAGGATTCTGAATATTTGGTCTAAACTGCTGAAATTTTTTGTTTATATCGAGTGTGTCTCACCAACAGAAGGCTCCTGGATGAGTGGGGAGGCCGTGGCGCTCAGACTCTGAACTAAGCTCCCCAGCTCCTGCAGGGCACACACCATCACATGCTGGCTGGCAGAGACGTCCGCTCCCCCGGCCTTGTTCTCACCGCTGATGTCGTTCACCACGGCCTCTGGGGAAACATGGCAGAGGACAGACGATTTAAGTTTTACACGCTTTCTAAACACACCTAATACACAATATGTTCTACGATTCAGATTGTGTGCAACACTGATGGATGGAGTGGCTCAAAAGTAAATAAAACTTGAATTTCAAATTTTAAAATGGACACACTGTTAGCTTTACTCCCTGTTAAATCAGTAAGTATTTTTAGGAGCTATCAAATGAACATTTTGTAACGCGGATCAACATATCTGACCACATTCAGCCATTCACTGCTGCCACATATACTCATTTTAAAATCCAGCACAGTGCTATACAGCTATCCCAGTAATATTTGGACATCCAGACAATGTTTCGCGATTTTTTTTTATTTTCTTTTACAAAAAAACAAAAATACCTTCACGTAAGGCCAGACTTTAAAGTTTTCTTCTATCATCTCTCGAGAAATTTGTGTTTGCAGTTAGTGAGTTGGCAAAAACAACATTTTACCTTTTTCTAACGGTAAAACAATAATGTTCATATTCAATAACTAATAATTGTTTTTGTATTTTGCAAGTTACTAAAAAGTAAAAGCACACTATCCTACTATTAAAAAACGGAACTAAAAGAAATAAAATCTTATTCAGTTTGTGCAATTTTTGTCAAATTATGACAATTGCAGTTCATATTTAATAAGTCTGCTAAGGCTGACAGAGACCTGCTGACCAGCGGTCCTCAACCAACCGGTCAAGGA